AGTGCTGGGATTACAGGTGTGCACCACCGGCTCTTGTATTTTATCAAGTGGGAGTGATACTGTGGTTTCTATCAGTGGAATACAAATGGAAGTGGTATCCCTGTTTGAGGTCAAGGTTTTTATTTTTAGAGTAGTTTTAAGTTCACAGAAAAATTAAGTGGAAGGCACAAAACTTTTCCACATTCCACTCTGCCTCCACCAACCCCTTTCACTGTCATTCTCCTCAACAGAGTGGTGCGTGTTTCAATCAACAAACCAATATTAATACATCATTAATACTGAAAGTTCATAGTTACATTAAGGTTCACTCTCGGTAATGTACAGTCTATGAGTTTTGACAAATGTATGATGATGTGTATCTGTAATTAGAGTATTATACAGAATATTTTCACTGCCCTAAAAAAAACCTTCTATGCTCTGCACACTCATCCCTCTCCTCCTTCCAATCCCTGGAAAGTACTGATATTCTATTTCCATAGTGTTGCTTTTTTTTTTTGAGGCTGTTTTATAGCTGCAGCCATAGAGTATATAGGCTTTTAGAATTTTTTTTTCTTTTAGTAATATTCACCTAATGTTTCTCCATGCCCTTTCAGGCTTGATAACTCATTTCATTTTAGCAATGAGTAACATTCCATTGTCTGTGTGTACTGCAGTTTATTTATCCATTCATCTTCTGTAGGACACTGTGGTTACTTCTAAATTTTGGCAATTATACACAAAACAACTATAGTTAAAAATTCATGTGTAGGTTTTTGTGCAAACATGTTTTCCATTCCTTGTAAAAAGCAGGGACTACAACTGTTGGATCATGTGATAAGAGTATGTTTACTTTTGTAAGAAACTGCCAAACTATCTTTCCCAGTAGCTCTACCATTTTGCATTCCACCAGGAATAAATGAGAGTTCTCGCCGTCCCATGTTCTCACTAGCATTTGTTATTGTTCTCAGTTTTGGTCATTCTATAGGTATACAGTGTTATCTCAACCTAAAAAAATTTTCATTTGCTTGATGGTATGTGATGTGGACTATCTTGTCCACATGGGCTTACTTTCCCTTTGTATATCTTTGATGTGGTAACTTGATATCTCTGTTTCATTTTTAGAATTAGTTATATTCATCTTTTTAATTGTTGAATTTAAAGACTGCCTATACATTTTTGTCAAAATCCCTTGTCAGATAAGTCTTTTACAAATATTTTCTCCCAGTTTGTGGATTGTTTACTAATTCACTGACAGCATCTTTTACAAAACAGAAAGAAAATTTAATGAATTCTAGTTTGTCAATTCTCTCTTTCATGGAAATATTTTTATGGTTGCATGTAAGAAGACATAGGTTTTCTCCTATTAGTTTTTGTTTATCTGAAGTCTATAACCTAGTTTGAGTTAATTTTTGCAAAGGGTGTGAGGTCTGTGTTGTTGATCACCCACCCTGTGGATGTCTAGTTGTTCCACCATTCCAGTTGTTTCAGCCCCATTGGTTGAAAGACTTATTTTCTCCTTGCATTTCCTTTGTTCCTTTGTCAAAGATCCACTATATTCATGTAGATCTATATATAGGCTCTCTATTATGTTCCATTGACCTATTTAGTCTTTCATCAATATCACACTAACTTGATTAATATAGCTTTGTAATGAGTCATGAGGTTGGGTAGTGTCAGTCCTTTGGCTTCATTCTGCTTCAATATTGTATTGTCCATTCTGGGTCCTTATTCTCTTCTTATAAACTTTAGAATCATTTTATCTATATCTGTAAAATAACTTGCTGGGGTTTGCTTGAGATTGCATTAAATATATAATCAAATCAGAACAATTTTGATTTGACATTTGGATAATATTGCCTCTTCTTATCCATGAACATGGAATATCTCTTCATTTTATTTCATTTTTCCTTGATTTCTTTTATCACTTTTATAGTTTTTCTTACAAAAATCTTGCACATGCTTTGTTATCTTCATATCTAAGTTTTCATTGGGGGTGCTAATGTAAATTGTATTGTGTTTTAAATTTCAAATTATATACTTCCTGTGACCTTAGGATGAATGTGCATTTATTTTTTTGTTGTTGTTGTTTTTGTTTTTTTTGTACCAGGAGTTGAACCAGGACCTTGTGCTTGCCAAGCAGGCATTATGCCGCTGAGCTATATTCCCAATCTCTGAATGTGCATTTGGATGTTGGATAAAGTAATCTATAGGTATGTATTGTATCTAGTTGATTGATTAGTGTCTTTGAGTTCAACTATTTCCTTACTATTCTTTATAATCTCCAACTATAATAGATGATTAATCTATTTTTCCTTGCACTTCTATCACTTTTTGCCTCACGTATTTTGATATTTTTGGATGCACACACACTAAGGATTGTTATGTCTTCTTGGAGAATTGAGCATGTGATCTCATGTAATATTCCTTTTTATCCTTGATAATTTGCCTTGCTCTGAAGAGTATCGTGTCTGAAATTAATGTAAGTATACCTGTTTTCTTCTGATTAATATTAGCATAGTTTATCTTTCTCCATCCCTTTACTTTTAATTTATATGTCTTTATATTTAAAGTCAGTTTCTTGTAGACAACATATTGTTAAGTCTTTTAGAAATTCTACTACATTTGTCTTTTAATTGGTATAGTTACCTTAATGAATACCATGAGCTTGGGGATACTACCACAATGTACTAACCATGCATATTATGTAGATATTGCAAGCCAGTGCCCTGAACTCTATTCCAATCCATTTGTAGTGAGGAAGTTAATTTGTAGAAAGCCAGTGATATTTTCTTATTTCCTGGACATCCATTTTCAGTTCATGTTTAAGAGGAGATACAGGTTTTTCCAGGCAGATGTACTTGTCTGGGATTTGGGAGGCGGAAATTAACATAGTGAGCTGGAGATTGTGTCCCTTTCATTTATACTGTTTTGTCTGGCAAACATAGTTGTTAAACTTCAAGTAGTAGAAAACCCACCAAATGGCTTAAACAAAAAGAGGAGCTTATTTTCCTCATATAACACGAAGTTTGGCTGGAGGCAGTCACTGCCGTGGTTCACCAGTTTGCCAATATCAGAATCAATTAGGATCAGTATATGTGCAATTCTTTTGGACTTTCCTGAGTGGTTACAAGGCCATTCTGGAGGCTACAGACATTACATCTGCATTCAAGGTAACACAAAACAAAAACAAAGTAGAAATGGGGAACAACAGTATCAATTATGCCTGCTTCTTTTGATCAGGAAAGTAAAAGTTTTCCTAAAAGTAAAAGTAAAAGTAAAATATTTCCTAAAAATAAAAGATTTCCTAAAAGTTCTCACAACATATGTTTTTTTTTGAGAGTCTTGCTGTGTAGTTCAGGGTAATTTAAACTCACTATGTAGCATACCTGGGCTTGAATTTGCAGTGATCCCCTTACTTCGGCCTCCAAAGTGCTGGGATTATAGGCATGTGCCACCATGCCCCGTCTCACAACAGACTTATCTGTAGATTTCACTGTCCTTGCCAACCTGAACAAAATTAGGGTTCTGTTGGTAAGGAAGAAGGAGAGGTTGAGGGTACCTTAACCCATGGAATTCCTGGCTGCTGTGCTGGAGCTAATGAGAGCTTGTAGAGATAAAGTAACATGCATGGGGACTTGAATAATAACATGAGAATTAAGAAAAGATATAAGGCAAGAAAAATGTGATAGAGCAGACATTTTAGAGGAGATGGGGACTTTAAGCCTCTAATGCATCCCACCCTCATTTTTAAAGCTTGTGTATTTCAGTTGCAACCTATGGGCAAACTCTTGCTTGCTGCACTGTGTGTGGCTGATATCACTTCCCAAGGCAGAAATGTGTTTTGAGTAAATGTCCCATTGAATGTGGCTTCTTCTGGGTTGATGGGCAGAGAGTGGTGAACTTGGTCCCAAAGCAATGACAAATCATCTCCTTCTTTCTTCTCTAGCCCCCAGGGAAGTAAGATGAGACCACTGTAAAGAGTCAAAGATACATTTTCTTTTGGTGAGAGCACAAACATTTGTTTAAACTTTTGACTCTTTACTCCTAAGCATAATGACTTGACCCATTTGTATTTTTTCAGAATTAAATTTTATTTCACATTGATAGAAATCATGATAAACATTTACATTTTCTCACAGTAGAGCACATTTCAATGGAGTATTTCTTGCTATAAATAGGATCTTACTGATTTGTATAATTGAAATAAGTCTATGTTCTTCAAGGTAAATGATTTAGTGAATGGTTGTTTAAAATTTTTAAATCCAGAAATAAACATGACTTCATTATAAACATCCTATGTAGTTCATTACTAGATTGTTTCCATGATCAGTTAGCACCAAAAGTTGCATTCTTCACATTGTCTTGGTCAGCTGAAATACAGCAAAAATTAACACAGTTCAGAAATGTCAAGCATACATTATTGCTACATTTTAAACTGTGTGGTAACTATACCATATTTATGGGGTTCTGACTGAACTTTATTACCCATAAATTTGTTTTCAAATAATTTTTACTATTAATCTGGAAATTTTGACTATTTAATATCAAGTGAGTATTGTTTTTATGTTTGCACAAAAGACTAGTTTTGAAAAATAATTTCAAGTGAAAATATCAAATAAGACCATTGGCAGATAAAAATAGAGCAATTTTTTCTAACAAGTTGTTCATTTTCTACAGTAGTTGGTTTCAAACATTTGTACAGAAAAAGTAAACTTACTGGGGCAAAGAGACTCAATAATTTTAGAAATTAGTTTTTAAGATCAGTCTTTAATATTTCTGTACATATCAGAATATGATCTAGTTATTCTTTCAGTTGCTTACAGAAAAATAACAACAGATTTTATTAGTACCTGAATTGAAGATTTTAAATAACTAAATAAGTCTAAATTTGGACTAAAGTATAATTATTTAAAATACATAATATAAGAAGTTTAAGGAATTTTGCCTTCTTTTAAAGTGATATAAATTTTAAATAGCATATATCTGTGATTCAGAATGTCAGATTATAGCATGTATTGACAGTAGATGTCCATATCTGATCTGCTATGAAGGATAATCGCAAAGGAAAACTTTTTCTTGAGAGGAGAAAATATGAAAAAGAAATAATATCAAAGAAAAAAAACCCTGGTTTCCCAAATAAAGGAGTCATTCAATGAAGAGAGTAATGCTACTCTTTACTGACAAAAGCACTAATTAACCTTATTATCAAAAACAATACAGACCAGGTGTGGTGACACATAGCTGTAATGCAAGCACTCGGGAGGCTGAGGCAATAGGATTGCTGCAAGTTCAAGGCCAACCTGGGCTAGAAAGTGAGTTTAAGGCCAGCCTGAACTGCATAGTGAAACCTTATCTCAAAAAGACCAAAAAGACATAGTAATAATAACAACTCATTCTCATGTATTACAATCATTATATATAATGAATACATAAATAAAAATGCAGGTACTGCATGGTGACTGAGCAATTTTGTAATAAATCCATAGATTAAGACACAGTGTGCATAACTCATATATGTCTAAACTGCTCATTTTACCTGAACAAATTTTCATTAAGCATACTAGTAATTTTCAAATGATGTCATAAAAAATCTGGTTGTAGTATTTTATTATTTTGTTGAATTATGTTTGAGGAAAAGGCCTAGTTGCCTCACCTATTTTAATACTAGTATATGCTGGATCACATTATATAAATACATGTGTAGATACTTAAAAGATCATAAATTTCCCACAAGGAAATGTTGTTTATTATATACCATTGATCTGTATTTGGAAAACTTTTTTTTTTTTTTTGTCTTTCTGAGACAGGGTCTCGCTATGCAGTTCAGGCTGGGCTTGAGCTCACTTTGTAGCCCAGGCTGGCCTCGAACTTGCAGCAATCCTCCTGCCTCAGCCTTCCGAGTGCTGGGATTACAGGCGTGCACCACTATGCCTGGCTTGGGAAACTTTTTAACACTGCAAACATCAGAAGTTTTAAGACTGGGCATAGGAAAAAGTTTATACTCTACTACAATGCTCCTGGTGTACTTCTACATAAGACCTCTTAGCGATGTCAGTCAACTGGAGGTAGGAATTTATCAATGAATTGCTTGACATTCATTATTTCCTATTGAAGTAAACTGCATCGTGCCTTTGTAGGTTCTGAAGGTTACCATTGCCTGGATTTACCAATGATTTTAATTTTTCAACAGTATGGAAACCAAACATTAGGGGAACTAATGGGTCGGAATCGCTATGGCACTGGAAACTAGAAATATCTTTGTTAATACCACTGATCGCACCCTGTAGAACTGAAGCCTGAAGTGGAAGCCAGCAAATGAGTGCAATGACATCTGCCAGTTTCAGCTGTGTGGTAAGAGCGCTGTATAAAGATAAAGCTTCTCCCTGAGAAAATCCTCCCAAAATAATTCTGCTAGAAGGAATGTCATTCTTCACCTCTTGATCTGTTAAACCTTTTACTTTTAATTTCAGCTTCATTTCCCTGAGAATCTGGTGAAAGCTCAATATTATCGCATCCCTAGGTGGGTCTGGGGTCGCCAACACATTTCCTGGGCCTGTCTCTCTCTAACATGGAAAGAGAAAGAGGAGTCAGAGGACAGTGTAATGCGAGAACAACGTTTATTGGGCACAAAGCCACTTTGAGGAGCAGGGGCCTCAGAGCTGAGTAACCGCTGAGTATGGGCAGGCGTCCTGTTTTTTGGGGATTGAGTGGTGGTTCCTCCCTCTGGGGGCAGCCCCACCCAGTAGGTTGTTTTGTTGCTAGGGGTTTAGGTCTCATGGGCTAATAGAGGAACTTGGGTACACGTTGCAATAATTAGGGTGGACAATATTACAAAGGTAAGACTGCAGAATGCCAGTTGTTTACATTCTCAGAACACTGCAGAAGCTATTTTTCTTCTAAACTCTAAGGGGCCTGTATCCCTTTTCTGATCCTCCCTAGGGTTCCCATCTATTCCTGTAGGGGATGGCGACTCTCAGCATATCATTTTAAGATAAAATAATTCTAGTCTTAGTGCAAGCCTCAAGATGTGTCTTGAGAAACATCCCGGAGGGGTTATAAAAAAGTTAACTTTGCAGTCCTAACTTAGCCCTGGAATGCTTCTCCAAAGACAAAGAACACCCAGGCCCAGATAACCACCTATGTCCCTGCCTGGGTTGTTTCATCCCTTCCCTGGCCCTAGATAAACATTGTAACCATGAAGGAACTGTGTGGTTATCTAAAGGGGGACATATAGAACAGAGCACAAAAAGTATGTATCATTGTGGTTGGGCTCATGACCAGAGCCTGACGCGGTCATGTGGCGCAAGGAAAACAACAAGTGGCCAGTGCTACAACATTCCAATCTGTTACCATGGAAACCAAAAATGTATATAAGGTGGGAACAAATGCAGGCCCATGCCTGCATTCCTGACCTGCAACTCGGAGATGAGAGGTGACTGGTCTAAATTAAAATTAATAGGGGCTGGGGATATATAAACTCTGTTCTGAATAGAGTTGGACTCTTGTGGAATACAGCCCGATTTCTGTCATTATATTCCTACAATATCAAACCAACAAGGCATAGTTATGTTCATATTTAGTGTTACAGGCATAACTGGCATGTGTGGGCAGATATATTAGATATGTGAACTTTTGACACTTGCAAAGTCTTCTGCCTATCCATGCCTAGTACATATAGTGGCACCTTGGTTCATAAATTTAATTTGTTCCATGATTCAGGGAAAAATGGCTTTATTCACCATGTTCATTGCCTGATGCAGCATTTCTGAAGGGAAGCAACAATTTGCTCAGTACTTCTGTTCATGAACCAAATTGCTCACAAACAGTAGCATTCATGAACCAAGGTATTACTGTATCTCCCAATCCATGAAAGTAAATAACTATGGTGGTGACCTGGATGGTAGACACAATGACTGGCATCAGAGCAGACACATAGCCATATACCCCCTGGGTTGGCAGATAGTGCTTTAGAAGCAGTAGAGAGAGCATTACTAGATGACCCAAGGACACGTGGGTGGTGAGTCCCTGCTTGCCTCACCAGGTATGTGCCTTGGCATGTGTGGGCAGATGCCTTCCCCATTTATGTTTGTTGTCTTTGGTGTACAGTTGGGGTAGTGACTATATTAGTTTGCTAGGGCTGCCATAGAAAAGTACTATAAATTGGATTTATTAAGCAACAGAAATTTATTGTCCAAGATCAAGGGATCAGCAGAGTTGGTTCCTTCTGTTGGTTGTGAGAATCTGTTCCATGTCCCTCTCCTAGGTTCTGGTGATTTGCTGGCAATCTTTGGCATTCCCTGGCTTATAGAAGCATGACCCAGATTTCTGCCATCACTTTCTCATGACATTCTCCTTGTGTGCATATGTGCATAAATTTCCCCTTTGTAAAAGGACAAGGGTCATATTAGATCCACCATACTCAAGGGTAATCTTGGGAAGGTAGAGCATGGCAAAGCTGGATGAGAGGGGGTAAGCAGGACCTGTTAATTACAAGATCCCAGGATACATGCACCAAATAATTCTCAGGACCCCATATGTGGGCTTTTCATTGGTTCCTGCATATGTGGAATGCATGAAAGTACATAGACACCATGAAGAGTTCACTATCATGGCTTTCTCCATGATAGCCCACCTTGTGTCCCCCAGGGTATACTTTTGTTTTTTCCTGTCTTTAGCCCAGCCCAAGCTTGCTCTGCAGAATCAGTTTCACCCTTACCCTTCATTTCCAATTTTTTTCTACCTCAAATAAACATGAAACTTTGCCACTGTTTTTGCTTGTTTCATTCAATTCTTTGTTTGAGATGGAAAGAACCTAGAAACCATCTCTAGAAGAAAACCTCAGCTCTCCAAAATCTGGTTATAGTGTCATCATAGCTAATTATGTCTGCAATGATCCTATTTCCAAATACAATCTCATTGAGTTCTTGATGTTAGGAGTTCAACACATGTATGTTGGTGGGAATACGATGGAATCCATAATAGTGGTCCGGGAAGGAAGTTTGGTGTGATGCTAGGATTGAGGACTTGGAAATAAAACTGAGTTGGTTTGAATTTTGACTGTGATGTTTACTTGCTCAGTCATTTTGGGCAACCTGCTTAGCCTTTTTGAATTTTAGTATTCTCATCTCTAAAATGGAGATGATAACCACTAATTTGGAGAGTTATTGAGAAAATTAAATTCAGTGAAGATTTTAAGTTCCAAATAACTGAGAATAAATAATTTTTATTCCTGTTCATAGTTTGTGGCCTAGCAACTCTTTGACACTCCTACATTTGACAGAATCTTTGGGTAGCTCTTTGGGCTGGAAACTTCTTCCCATAATCAATGCAATTTGGAAACACTGATGGTTCTTCCTGTTGGTCTTCCTGAGGTTGCTAGAATTTGACTATCCTCTGTCAGTTGACCAGATTTGTTTTTCACTTGATGTATGAGCCTCCTTCATGCATGCCCAGACAGGGGAGATGGTCTTTGTCAATCAGGAAAACTCACCCCACTACTGAATTTCCTCCTATACATCCTTGCTGGATAAAAGACCAATTCACAAATTGTCATGCTGTTCTTTGGTCAATTTTAATCTCAAAAGATTGTAAATTTTCGTTGTTTCTTTAATATCTTTTATTAACTCAGGCCAATATTCTGTTTTTCACAGTCTTTCACTCAGTGACACATAGTAATACTCTGCATTGGCAGAAACAAGAAGAAGCTGGCTGAAGACTTGGTCTAAATGGATGATGTCCCCGTTAGGGCACACTAGAGGAACAGACGTACATACTGTCCTATACTCTAAGTTATAATACAATATAAATGACATATAAAAGATTTACAGGATTATAATGACCCTCTTCAGAGTCAGGGTGGAAGAATGCAAAATGATCTTCTGGGTGCTGAAGAGCTGGAGGATCCATTTGGAAGTTGGAGGCCTAGAGCGCACTGCAGAGTCCAGTGTGAGTAATCATCAGAAAGCTGGCGTCTGCATTAGAGGACGGAAGAATCAGAGCTACAAGCGTAAGGACACTGGAGATGAATGTCCAAAGGTGATAGCAAAGACTGGAGCTCCTCTGAAGAAGCAAACAAGGAGACTTCCTTTTTCTTTCTCTTTTTATTCCATCCAGGCCACAAGCCTCTTGGTTGGTGCTACTCACACCTGGTGTGGATCTTCCCGCCTCAGATTCAGACTTAGGTGTCAGTCATCCACATGCACACCCAGAATTGTGTTTCACCAATTTGCTAGTCATTTCTTAATCCATTCAAATTGACAACTTAATTAACTATCACAATTTACCCTTTGTCAGCTTGACAACTGGACAATTTCCTTAAACCGTAATTTAAATACAATGGACAATTTCCTTAAACCATAATTTAAATACAATGGACAATTTCCTTAAACCATAATTTAAATACAATGGACAATTTCCTTAGACCATAATTTAAATACAGTAGGAAGTTTGTAACCACACTTAACATAATACAACCATCCTGCATACAACCAGAAACATTAATTCCCTCCCCAGAATAAAAGGCAATATTTTTCTTTGTCTGATGCTTATTTTTCTCTTAACATTTCATAACTTAAACATTATAATATAGATGTAACAATACTTAAGAACTGATACTAAATCTATGAACACTATATTCATAGAAAACAAAGATACCTGCTTAATATATGTGTATATGTGCACAAGCACATTAACAAAACTGGAAAGAAATATTTAGGACAATTATTATCCTCATTTCTATGACTAGTTATGTGGTAGTAGCTGGTATTTATAACTGTCTTCTACTGCCCATTTTTTTATTCCCTTGCCTTCAGCAAGCACCCCAGCAGGTCTTGGTTCTTCACTTGTCATGGTGACCCATACCTGCATTCCTGAAGATTCTGAGCTATTTATCATCCTGCTTGAGCTAGACTGTTATAGTTTCCCATTAACATTTATAACAGGATACAGTAATACTAGGAGGGACCCTAAGGGACCTCCTGCACTCCAAATATATCCTTCCTTCCCTCCACTGTGGTGTAACAGTCCAACTTATGTCTTGGTAGTCTGGTCAATCACCCCCACCAACTCTGTAACTCCCTTTTTAGCTGGTTTACCCAGAGGCGTGGGGAGCCCAAAATGACCAGAGGTAAGTCTTAGCTTCCAGCTCAAAAGAATCTTTGTCATGCTTCCTGGTATAAGCCTTCCCTACTCTGGAACTAAGACTTCTAGGCCAGCAGAGCATAGGTAGGGAACAGGAAGCAAAAAATTGTGCTAGTGGGTCACTAGGAATTAGTGAAGAGTGGTACCATTCTCACTTCCACTCCTTGATTCCTGGACCTGTAGATCCTGGCTATGAGACAAATAAAAGCTGATTCAAAGCATATACAGCTTTTAGAGAACCTTGTCCTCGCCCTGCAAGGTGTTGACATTTAGCGGGTACTGTAATTACCTATACAAAAGGCCATTCTATTCTTCTGTCAATCCAGCTGCTTCTGGATGACTAGAAGCGTGCTAAGACCAGTGAATTCCATGAGCATGGGCCTGTTGTCTCACTTCTTTGGCTGTGAAATGTGTGTCTTGGTTAAATGCAATGTTGTGTGGAAAACCATGATGTGGATAAGGCATTCTGTAAGTCCATGGATGGTAGTTTTGGCAGAAGCATTACATGCAGAGAAGGCAAGTCCATCCCAGATTAAGTACCCATGCTAATAAGGACAAAGTGCTGCCCTTTCCATGATGGAAGTGGTCCAATTTGATCAATGTGCCACCAGGTTGCTGGCTGATCACACCAGGGAATCATGCTATACTGGGGACTCAGTGTTGGTCTCAGCTGCTGACGTATTGAGCATTCAGCGGTGGCTGTAGCCAGATCAGCCTCAGTGAGTGGAAGTCTGTGTTGCTGAGTCCATGGGAACCTTCTTCCCTGCTGTAGCAGAAAGTGCCACCCCTTCAGCCAGTATACCTCAGTTTCTATTAGTTGCCCAGGTAACAATTCCTGTTATAGTTCCTGTTACTACTGTTCCTTAGAAATGGCTGGTCACTGGGATGCACATTGTAAGAACCCATCAAAGGCAGCCAAGTACTCTGCTTCTTGCTTGCATAAGAAGCAAGCCGTAAAAGCCTCCCTCCCTAAGCCTTCGAGGCCTGATATTTTTATGAGGATTGATTCCTTGTCAGGGCCATCAGCACAAATAAATCTGCCTCCAAATCTTGAGTGTCTTGTCAGTGTCTCTGCTTGCCATAGTACTGGCAGTGACAAGGGTGGCTGAAGAAAAGGTTGACTACCATCCACAGAATGGGACATCCTATCCATTTGTTTATTTAAGTCTTCTGCTGAGATCACCTTTCAGTGAGCATTTACGTGGAACACAAATATCTTTACGTTCTTTGCCTATATGGGGAGATCTAGTCACACACCTCATCCCCAAATATCTTTATCAGTAGTTTTCTAGTCACGTTCCTTCCAAGTCCCTGACCATCTGGCCAGACCATAGACTATAGCTCATAAATCAGTATCTAGTTGCACATCTGGTCTTCTTTTCTTCCAAGAAAAGCAACAGCCAGGGGCACTTTCTGAATTTGCACTCACTGTGAAGACTTCCCTTCACCACTGTCCTTCGGGGAAGTCCTGGGAATGCCATAGCTGTCCACTTTGGGATGGTGCCTGTATAATGTTCAGAACCACCTGTAAACCAGGCCCTAGTCTTCTATTTCTCTGTCAATCGATCATATGATATGCCCCCCATGAGGCCTTAGGTACATTCTGGGGGACAGAAGGCAATATAGCAGGATTAGGAACCATGGGTTTGGGGGCAACTTCTTCATGTAAGTTACTTGTATGTTTCAAAACTGTTCAGGATTGATCATGTGTTTACTACTTCCATTTCATGAACTATTGCTGTCCATGTTTAACTTCATGACTTGGTGGGCCAGATAGCACCGTTTCATGATGGGTAGCTCAGGTTGTATGGTAACCCGGTGTCCCATGGTGTCTTAGTTACTTTTCTCACTGCTGAGACAAAATACCCAACACCCACAAGTTAAGGAAGGAAAGCTTTATTTAGCTCACAGTTTGTGGAGGTTTCAGTCCATAATCAGCTGTCTCCAGGACAGAGTGACACATGGTAGAGAGCAACAGTTCATGGTGATGGAAGATAGTAAAAGCAATAAGCAAGAGAAGGGAGACAAGCCTCTTTCTGTCCCTTATATTGTATCCAGTCTACTGGGATTAGGGCAGTGCCAATCCAATCAGTGGACTGATCCAGCAATCACCTACCCTTAACCCCAGCATTAAAACACGAATTAATCACACACTTTAGATTCACTCACCTCCAAAAAAATCCCCCTATCCCTGCATGAGACTTTGCAGGGACATCTAGACAGAAACTATAACATATAGTCAAGCTTTCAGTTTCCACTAAGACACAGTAGCAGGCCAGGAGTTGGTTTTCAAAGGGAGAGTATGTGTCTATAGAAAATGGCGGAGCCTTGCTCCAGTGTCCCAAGGGTCTCCACTGTGATTCACCCATGGGAGCCTTCCAGAGGCTCCAAATAGCATCCCTGTCTGCCACCAACCCCTTAAGTATTGTTGCACCGTGAGTCATTCGGTAAATGGGCCAGAGTAACACAGATAATTAGCAGAATTCGAGGGTCTAAAATACAGAAAAAGTCCTTTGCAAATTAAGTCTGGAAGGGGATCTCTAGACATTGAGAAAAACTGTATGGAGAGAAATATGGAAAAGAAGGACGCATTTGCTAAATATTGACTCTGAATGGGATACTTGGCCTGTTGGTTTGTTTTACAGTCTAGCTATGATTTAAATGGCTAGCCCTACCCTGCCTCCTAACTTAAAATTGTATGTCACTAAGGGGAACAATTCACATCCTTGTGAGGAACATGGAAAACTCAGTACTGGGGATAGTCCCATCTCTTCTGGAATTTTGCAGACCATTTTCCATCACTTGTGACGACCCACGGGTGCTTCTGCACCTTCGTCCACATGGAGTCCATGCTTACCTACTCAAGTCCTGTTTGTCTCTGCGCTCTGACTTCTGATAAGAGGGCTCTGTCTACCCTGTTACCCATTTGGAACAGAGTTCTTTTCTTTTTTTATGAGAAAAAAACAATAAAAAAGATACAGAAATTCAAACCAAGATGATAGGAAATTAACAACGGTTATTGTATTGCATATTGTTATCTTCAAAGCAGTTGCTCAGATTATCAGACCTAGGCATGCAAAACTGATCAAACAGTGTAAACACCAACTGGAACAGAATTCTTTGGGCTTCCGCACCTCTCCCTCTGCTGCAAGTGTGGCCCCGTGGCTAACAGTGTCCTTCCTGTTCCTATGTTAAATATGGAGCAATCAGGACTCTCACCAGGGGAAACTACTCAGACACAGCTTTACAAACACAACTGTGTTTAACCTTCAGAGTTTTGGGGAGGGTGTTCTAGATAGGAGTTAAGCAGTGTTCAAATGGAAAAAAAAACAAAAACCCTAGGGTTTGGGGTCTTTCACCAAGTGTTTTGATGTTCATTTGAACTGTTGGAGCTGACATGTAAATATGTGGATTAAGTCATGCTGGACCACTTCATTTGTTCCCCCTGTGGGATCACTTCAGACAGATCCCACCAGATGAAGAAGGAGACCAAGTCAGGCAATAAGGACATTTACTCACATCAGACTCTCTGTGGGATCCAGTTCTTTTCTTAGAGCAGAAGTGCTGTTGGGGAGGGGAGTTGCATCAAGTATTGGTGAGCTGTTACCACAACAATGCTATGTAGCACATCATTGCATACCTCAGTGGATTAAAATAACAGTCTTTTATTCTGCATTCATGGTCTTGTGGGTCATTGACAACTTAGCTGGGCTACCCCGCTCTTCCAGACACTGGGCTATGGACTGGATTCAAGTCATCTCCAAATATTTTATTCTGTGGCCTAGGTCAAAGTGGCAGCAGCTACCTGAAGTATATTCTTTTTTTTTTTTTTTTGGTTTTTCTCCGGTACCGGGAACCGAACTCACGACCTTGCGCTTGCCAGGCAGGCGCTTTTGCCGCTGAGCTAAATCCCCAGCCCCATCTTTTTATGGTGAATTATCAGAACACAAAATAGCATCCTAGCCTTACAAACATATTTGAAACCTTTGTTCATGTCACATGGTACAGCCCAAAGTCAAGAGGTAGATATAATCCGTTTTTATGAAGCTATACAAGATGGCAGTCACTTCTACCAAAAGAGAATGACAAATTTGGACTATTATTTCAAAGTAACTTGTACCCTATGATAATGTTGACATATGTCTCTCTTCCAGTAAATTTTTGATTCTGTTTGGGTTTCTCAAGGAGTCAAAGCAGTGTCTGTGTCACTGGGACCAGAGGAAATGGGAAGAATGTTCAAGAAAGGAAGAGCCAGGCCAGCACATTCACATTCCGAGATTCCAAGCATTTCTAACTCTTGCAGAGATGTTGCTATGTGTGTTTATGCATTTTGTAGAGAAAAGCAAAGAAGGATATCAAAGTTGCAAAATTGCTTTAGAGCTCATTTGTTAACTTTT